ATTCAAAACCAAAACGTTGCGTTAAATAAATGTGTTTTTAAAATAAACGATATACTATTAAAATATTTCTTATCTGTATTTTCCTGTTCGTATTCGTCTGGATGTGGTCATTCAATAGCACAAGCTGTATAATAGAAAAGCAGAAATTCCAGAGGTCTGGTGAGGATATAACGACGATGATAAACTCCAATTCAAATAGTGTAACTGGCCGAAAAATTCTAATAATGACGTAATCTGGTGAACCAGTGAAGATGACGTGAAACTGCTAATTCCTGGATCTTTTAACGGGACCCTATGCCTGATTGTGTCTTTACTTGGATTGTATAAGTACTTAGATCGGATACTCGTACCGTATACTTGGACCCTATATTATAAAAATTACCCCGTAATAATAAATTTGATTTACAAAATAATTTAAGCATGTACTTTACCTCTAATTGAGGGTGTTGACAATTTAATCCTTCCACAGAAGGTTTCAATCTTAAAACACCACAATAATCCACCTAACGTGTTAAAATGCATAAAAGATTGATTACGAGAACACTTATGAGTTTTATATACCAAGGGTGTAAGATTTACAAATAAATCACAAGATATACATCACAGTGTTCACTGTCAACAGTAAGTATCTTGCTAATACCAAATTAATTTATTTCCACTTACGAAAAAATAAAATTGGCAAAACCATAGAAGATAGCTACTGTTTATTTTCTACTGAAACAGAACAACTGTCAACACCTATTAATAATTGAAGAATATAATAAGAATATCGAAATAGATATCCTCAAATATGAAAACAGATAAGGAACGCTATTTTTAGTCCAATTTATATTTAAATTATTAAAATAAATTAAAAATAGAGATTTCACCATTTTAATCCGTTACACCCCTAGAGTCGTCGCATGGACTTACACGGCTATCATAAGACCTATCCTAACATACGGTGTAGTTGTCTGGGTACCGAAAACTCAAAAATTAACAGCTATCCGTAAACTAGAACAAATTCAAAGAACAGCATGTCTCAACATAACAGGAGCGATGAAAACAATACTGACTAGAGCCATGGAAGTCATTCTTAGTCTCAATCCTCTTGATATTTACATCAAGGAGGTTGCTCTGACGACAATGACACGCCTCGGTAAAGTTGGAATAGAACCGATGTAGGATCAGGTGAAGCGAGATGTCGCTTTTGGCAGGAGGCGCTCGATACGTTCCCACTGCTTTAAGCGAACATCTATCTCACCGAGATATAAAAAATAGAAGAGCCAGAAGTGGCAGTTACGATTTACATCCACACCGATGATTCTAAAACAGTGTTGCCAGTCTAGTACAATTGTACTAGATCTAGTACATTCTCTGAGAATCTGGTACTCTAGTACACTCGACACAATATCTGGTACTTTTTTCAGCGTATGTTTCCATTTGAAGTGTAAAATATATTGGTCAAAAATTGCAAGAGAAATTAAAATAGTTACTTGTTTAAAAATTGTACGAGAGATCAAATATTGTTAAAAAATGGTTTGAGAGGTAAAAAAGGGTGTTAAAAATTTATCAAAGTATAAAATAGTATTAGAAATTGCTTGAGAGGTAAAATATTGTTCAAAAATTGCTCTAGGGATAAAAATACTGTTAGAAATTTAATGAGAGATAAAAATATTTAATAATTTTTCCAGAGATTAAATAGTATTATAAATTGTTAAATTCGTGTTCAAAAATTGCTCGAAGTAAAATAGTATTACAAAATGTTAAACCCTGGTTCAAAAATTGCTCGAGGGATAAAATACTATTGAAAAATTTGTTGAGAAATTAAATATTGAACAAAATTGACTCAAGAGATACCTACTATTAGAAATTTCTCGAGAGATAAAACATTGTTTAAAAATTCCTCGAACGATAAAATACTATTAAAAAATGCTCGAGAGATAAAATATTGTACAAACATTGCTCGAGATATAAAACATTGTCAAAAATTTATCGATAGTTAAAATATTTTTATAAATCTGTCGAGAGTTAAAATATTGTGCAGTTTGCTAAAGAGATAAAAAAGTTGTTAAAAATTGCTCGAGAGATAGAATAATGTTAGAAATTTATCGAAAGATAAAATATTGTTTAAATATAGCTCAAGAGATAAAAAAAGGTTTAAAAATAAATTGCTCGAGAGATAAAATAGTGTTAGAAATTATTAAAATTTTGCTCAAAAATTGCACGAGAGATCAAATATTGTTCAAAAATAGCTTGAAAGGTTAAAGCTGTTAAAAATTGCTCGAGTGATTAAATAGTGTTAAAAATTGTACAAACATTTCTCGAGGGATAAAAAAGTTGTTAAAAATTGCTAGAGAGATAAAATACTGTTATAAATTTGTTTAAAAACTGTTCGAGAGATAAAATATTATCAAAAGTTGTTAAATCTTTTTCAAAAATTGCTCGAGGGATAAAATAGTGTTAAAAATTGTTAAAATTATAGTTCAAAAATAGCTTGAAAGGTAAAAAAAGGCTGTTAAAAATTGCTCTAGTGATTAAATAGTGTTAAAAAAAATATTGTACAGACATTGCTCGAGAGATAAAAGAAGTTAAAAATTGCTCGAGAGATAGAATACTGTTGGAAATTTATCGAGAGATAAAATATTTTTTAAAAATAGCTCAAAAGATAAAAAAAAAGTTTTTTAAAAACTGTTCGAGAGATAAAAATAATATCAAAAAGTATTAAAATATTTTTCAAAAATTGCACGAGAGATCAAATATTGTTCAAAAATGGCTTGAAAGATAAAACACTGTTAAAAATTGCTCGAGGGATTAAATAGTGTTAAACATTTTACAAAAAATTTTGTACAAACATTGCTAGAGGGATAAAAAAAAGTTGTTAAAAATTGCTCGAGAGATAGAATACTGTTAGAAATTTATCGAGAGATAAAATGTTTCAAAATAGCTCAATAAGAGTTAAAAAAAAGATTTAAAAACTGTTCGAGAGATAAAAGAGTATCAAAAGGTATTAAAATCTTATTCAAAAACTGCTCAAGATAGAAAATAGTGTCAGAAATTTGTCGAGAGATAAACTATTGTTCAAAATTGTTGTGTTCGTGTTCCCTATAAACCTTTTTTTGGTCTTTAATGACCATACTTCATAATTAGAAAAATGTGGTAATTTTATAGAATCTAGTACATTTTTATGAAATCTGGTACATTTTTTAGATAAATCTGGTACATTACAAAAATATATTCTGGCAACACTGTTCTAAAACAAAACAATTCTCAGGATGTGAAATATACTCCAGATCCTTAAATCTAAACATAAAATGGGCTGTGAGCAATAGTGTCAGTGTAGTTTAAAGAGAGCTAACGGGGATTCTCATAGCAGCAAAAGAAATAACCGGAAACAATATCACTGAAAGGAACATGCTTATCTATACAGATAGCAGACAAGCACTACTCACCCTGAACAGACCACGAATTTATTCAGGGCTCATCACTTCACTCAAAATACAATATTCTTACTTCATACTATTGCGGTCATCTCTTAAAAACTTTTCAGCCGCTCTTCTCGATGTTCAGAAAGCCTCTGACCAAGTCTGCTGGACTAGTTAAAAAACCCATCCCAAAATAACTTCAAACTCATATACTCATACCTCACTGACAGAACTATCACAGTCAAAGTAGGCAACGTCATGTTAAAACCATTTACGTCATATTCTGAATACTACAGGGTTCCCTCTTGACTCCTCTGCTATACCTCTTATATACTAAAGACACGACATTCCACCCCCAAACCACCCATCATCAAACTGTCTTCTCTATGCCGATAATACTGCTCTGCACTCAATAGATAAAAACTCTGACCAAGTACTCAAAACCAAAATCTGTACTCTCGTTGGTGAAGAATATGGAGCGCCTCTCTCAACCCAGAAATCCAAACTTACAAAGAGCCATCCTGATTCCCCAGAACGTTAAAGTAAATCTTCAGGCTCGCCAAATAGATTGAAGTTGACTATTTGAGAATGCGATTTTCTCGTACTCTTAACTGGTTCTCGGATATCTAACGCAAGCCAGTCTCCTTGGAGTATTCAAAAAATAACTGTTATTTTAAATAAAAACAAGTGTTTTCAGATTTTTACAAATATAAGATTATGTCGGGTGAATTTGTGAACTTGGACACTAGGCTGGGCCGAAATAGGAATATTTTTTTTAAAATATAATAATTAAGTTTACAATACCTATTTAGTAGATAATAGGTTTAGGTGATTTAACTTTGAAAAGTAGGTACAATTTTTATGTAAGGGTGGGAGTGTGATGTTAAAAAGAGTGTAAATTAAAGGGCGTTTTTATAGTGGTAAATAGTTGGGTTAAAATTCTACTAAAAATCGGGATTTCAATTTTGTCATGACGAATTATTTGTCTATATAAATTTTCTAAGGGGCTGGCGGGCCTAAAACATATTTTTAAAATTAAAAAAAAAAAAAAAATACCAACTAGTGTATATGCTTAAACATAGCTTTTAATAGGTATAGCTTAATATAAATTACAATCAGTTTCTATATTCACAGCTTTTAAGTGCTATAGCAAATTAAAGTTTTAACATGGATCCCGACATAATTTCTGCTCTGAAATGCGTGCCCATCACTTCGGTTTATGTCGAATGGAGTTTTTTAACGACTATAAATATATACTAAGAGATATGTGCTAACCATTTAAATTAGATAATTTGGAAAAACAGAACAGAAAAAAAATGATTTAAATAATTATACCAAATTTGTAAATATAGCAAAAATATTTTTTTCTATTGTCTGTGTTTTTTAATTTATCACTTTTTGGAGATATTTTTGCATATAACACAGCAATATTTCAGTTAAAACTGCATTTTTTCGTCATTTGTAGTGAATATAAATATGCATATTTTTTAAATTTTTGTCTCATTTAAATCCGCCCTTTAGTGATAATATTGGTTTCAATATAATTTTTCGGCCACACGAATCAATATTTTTTTATTTTAGATTTTCACGTTAGTTATGGTAATAGCCGGGGACAGAATAGAAAAAGGTGGTAAAAGGTTATTGCAGTTCTGCTATTGTCTCCTAGTAGATGTAGACGACGAGCATATAAAAAAGAATATGCTAGAGGTGTCCCATCTAATAGAAGAATTGAGGCCAGTGTTAAATATATGCAATTACGTAGAAATAAAACGAGAATTTTTGCCTGCAATAGTATCGAGTTCAATAGCTTATATTATCATTTTGGTTCAATGTAAATTATAACCTACACGTTTTATTAATAAAATATGTAATCCAGCTTTGTGTTTATATATTTTAACTACGACCACTATGGAAAGGCGACAAAACTTACTGTTTAAAGGCGTAGTTAATAAGTCATTGAGCTTAGTAAATAAATCGCACGGTGTACAAAACGCACGATAATCAAAGAGCAGGTAAATAAAATGCACAATAAACAAAACATACGAAGTATTAAGCAAATTGCGTTATAAAAAAATGAATGGTAATCAAAAAGCCTGGTTAGCAAAAGGCAAGGTAAATTTGACATATAGTAAAAAAAATCATACATAATATATATTTTGCAAGTATTTTCACGCACATTTGCCTGTATAAGTTGTCGTAGGTAAAATATAATAGGCAATGACTGTTGTAAAATAATTTTTCCATTCGTGCGTAGTATGCTTTTTATATATTTATTACGCAGTGTACTGTAATATTTTTAGGAAGATTTTTTTATTTTTACACTTTTAAGAACTAAATTTGCTATCAATTACTTATAAATAAATCTTTACTACAGCATATTTAGTCTCATTTTTTCATTGAAATAACATTGCTGCTATATTTTTAACATCATGTTCTAGTCATTACCCAGGCACACCGTAGAAGATATATGGAACCATGCAAAGCACTTAGCTGTGGAAAATTGGAAAAAAGAATGATTATATTTTAAAACCATTTAAACATTGGTTTAATAATTAATTAAAAAAAAAATCTTATAATAAGATTTAATCATGCAATGACTTCAGTTCTTTTGCACATCAAAATTTAATCAATAATTCGTATTTTTAGTATGTTGATTATTCTACATTATCCAACAATTATGCAATTAAATCTTTTTTATCCAAGCTTAAATATTACAAAACCTACGCATATTACAATCAAAAGAAATAAAAAACATTTTTGGTACCATCGCGTGGGGTATCAAAAGAAAGCTCTATAAAGCACCATTTAAAAAATGTATAATAGGTACGTTCGTTTGAGCTATTTTTTCTTTAACACTTACAGCTAGTTGCAAGAACGATTGTTAAAATATTTCGTTAGCTAATGAACTTATAACTAACTTATATTAAACCTGGCGACGGTGCTTTTCCAAATGACAGTCTGTCGCTTCACAGCTGATCAAGGGTGATTGTCAACAAAATTTTTATTAACGAAGTTTATTTGATTGTATTTTTCAAAAATAAATTACAAATAAAATAATAAATAAGATTGAGGCTCAGCCTATATTACTATGGTTAAAAAAATAGGATAGTCACAGTCACCCTCATTCAATGTAATGCCAGGTGTTTCAAAGGATCTTGGGCTCAATGTAAGGAATTACTGCTAAGAATTATTATACCTACACAGTAAACAGGTTTAATTTTCAATATGCATACCAATATTTCCTTTAAAAATTAATTTTAACACTATCCCCATCTTTTTTCGATGTCAGCTCATATTTTTTAACAGGCAAAAGCAAGGATGAATATAAAGAATTCCTAAATGAAGAAAAGGTTCAAATAAGGCACTAGAAAAAAAGGAAAATACTTTTTTTACTGCCCTTTTAGTGCTCGATTAAAAATCTGTGATTTTTTTAACAATAAGTATAAGGCAACAGTATTTAAATATAATTTGTCCCTTTTTTATAAACTAAAACTATTTTTATTTTTCTTATACTAATTTATATTTTTTGTTCTCTTTTGTCAACCTGGAAAAGCTCATTTAAGTAAGCTAAATCTTGCCCTTTCTACTGTGCAATATTTTTTAAAAAAGTACATAATTAAAAATAGGTATGTTTAGTTTTTATCATGTGTGCAAACTCCATTTACTGTTGTGATATTTCCAATGTATTTTCTATTTTTAACAGACTTCAAAAAAGGAGGAGGTTCACAATTCATAGTATAGGAATATATTTTGAAATGTATAATTAACGATCATTTTTACTAAATGATTCTTTTATTGTAAGAAAAGTAGTACCTAAGGGATGGTTTCATATAAATTTGTTCAAGATCTGTTGATTGGGATTCATGAGAAAATAATCACTTCGTTTTTGGAGTCGCCAGTTTTTTAAATTAATTTTCTAACATGTTCATTTTCCATTCAAAGTAAAAAAAGTTTAAATTTGGAAATTTCTACAGTTCAGTATCTATTTTTTATCTAGAAATGAAAAACTGGAAGAGGGATGGTAAAATTTAAATGGTATGAGAAATAAATTCCCATTTGATCTATTCGTCAAAATCAGATAGGTCCTTTTTAAATCCCTTTAATTTGGATGCTGTGTTTCTTTGCTAATAAACTAACGCTTGAATTTATTTTTTATTTAAGCACAATTTTCTATTTGTATAAACTTGCAATTTATATTTTGTTAAGAAAATTAGATAATTTTGATATATGTTGATTAGCGTTTATAAGTTGTATATTTTTTGAAATTTAGAACATTAAATAATGATACTATATATAAATTACATTTTACTTAAATATTTTTGCTTCCACAAATTTGTAATTTACAGATTTGTAGGTCATAAATAAAACACCAAAAATATTTCAAAATTTTATTTTTTAAAAATTAATTAATATACACAAAATACATAAACATAATAGGAAAATATTATAAATCTACAATAATTAAAAATACATTTAATTTGCCCATCATTATGTGACGAAGTCACTAAATTTTGCTCTCAATTAATTTAAAAAAATGTTTATTTCAATTAATATTATTTCTGTTTTCCAGAAATTGCCGTTTTACAACAATTGCGAGTACCCTCATAGATTAAAATATTCCTATATTTGCCGAAATCCGAATGGGCATTTTGTAGAGTCGATTTCGTGCCGTTTATCTGTTTTTAGTTGCCAAAGTACTAGAAGGACATTTTTTTTATTTTTAAATTGTAAATAGTCGGCTGTAGTGGTGGTATTCCCCACTCGGGCTTACTGATCTTCCATCTTGCTTTACCGAAAATCATAAATTCAATGACATCTGGGAATTACGCCCTCTTCTTGTTTGCCGGCCGCCGTAAGCTCTTCTTTCTTTATTATTGACAGCCGAAAACTATTCGCCCTTAGATAGTGCCTAGTTAATGCTCCGTGAGTGCCGTGATTTCAAAAAAGTTAATTGATTAACCCCGTTTATCTGCTAAGGTAGAAATACTATATTATTTTTTTATATTGGCTTTTTATAATTAGTTGGGACACCCGTGTGACAAGTGAAAAATTTTGATTCATATCCAGGATATTTTATTTCAATCCTCAGTGTGAAAGCGTTAACAATTTTTATTTGAGGCTGGACATAGGCTAGACTCCGAGTGCTCTCTTTGTCAACGACTATATCCAATTTCTCTTAAAAACTGCCCAGTTAACATCGAAGTGAGAGATTCGATCTGTTTTCGTTTTTTTATATATTTTTTTTTTTTTTTCGGAGGTTCGATCCGTTCCCGGATTAGAGTGCTTTCTCTCCTGATGACGGTATCTAATTTACCACAGAGACGTTTAAATTAATTTCCGCACCTCACTTTGTGAAAATTTTTTTTCTTTTAATTTTTTTATTCAGCCGTATTTGAATCATTCCAGACGACTTCTGTAAAATTAAATTTACACACACGCTCTCGATCGACTCTGGGAAAAATTCAAAATATTATTTTCTACGATCGTCTGTCCGCCGTCCAAACCACCGCGTAAATAACCGTATTTATCACTAGACGAAAATGTTCGCTTCCCATCGCTCGTAGTTAAGATAAGAGGGGGTTCCGACAACTTTGATTTCATTTATTTGCTTGCATTTGATTACCGTCATATTTAAATGTATTAATTTATTTTTAATACATTTTCGGTATATAGGTAGTTCCATAATTCCCAGACCGCTTGTCCTCCTGTGCTAGCAAACCGTAATTATTTCTCAATATTTAAATTGTTTTCAATTGTAATAATTTATTTTTCATAAATATTTAGAATATAGGGATCCGTCAATATTCAAATAGTTGTTAGTTCTCATAATTTATTTTTAGTAAATTTTTCGAATACAGGGAGCCGTTCATATTTAATTACCGTTGTATTATTTTTTTGTAAATATATATTTTAATACCTATTCCTGTGTTTCTCTTATTACTGGTTCTTAACCGTTCTCTTTTAGGGTACCGTAGGGTACGAGGTGTAAAGGAGATAAGTGTTTTAGTTTTATTTATTCTAGCATAGTGACTACCTAGCAGTGACCGCCTGGAATTATTTTACCTCCACTGAGTTTACCTCTCTGGTGTACTACAGGGTCGCAGAGCAAACTGCGATACCTAAACTGGCGCCTGAGCAACCCCTATTCGGAAATCGCCATTACAGCGCCACACAGACTCGTTGATTCACAGTAGGTGAATCAGAAGCCTGTCCCAAATGGCGCCCGAGCAGGGACCGTACTGCTAAAGGTTTACCACCCCCGGAAAAAGGGTAGATTTTTTTTCTCTCTCCTTTTTCTCCGAATTTATTTTTTGTTCATCTTCTTTTCTCCGAATTTTTTTTCTCTCTTTTCCTTTCTGTGAGAAAATCATTCTGCCCCGCCATGGCATCTCCACTGCCCACCGTTAGGCCCGTATTTATCCAAACGCACGAGTGGAATCTCTCGTTTGGAAACCGTGATGATCCAGCCGCATTTTTGGAACGCCTTGACGAAATTTGTATTTCCAAGGAAATTGATAAGGACCGACTATTGCCTCACATCCCCGAATTACTAACCTATGAACCCGCCTTGTGGTTTCGTAACAACCGAGATAATTGGCTCACCTGGAAGGCCTTCGAGGCCGATTTACGTATATTCTTTTTTTCAGTGTCCTATCAGTTGGACCTGGAAGCCAAAATTAGCCGTCGATTGCATCGTAGGAACGAACCCGTCACTTTCTACATTACCGCCTTTCAGACCCTCATGAGGACCCATGGGTCGTTTACCAGTGAGCATCAACTAGAGAGGCTGTACCGTAATCTTCTGCCCAAATACAGGCAGCAGATCTGCAA